CTAGGACTGACAACGATGGGGGATGCATCCCCCCTCCTTCTTGAAGGAGACCACTGCTGCGTTGTCTGTGCGGAGCAGGACTCTGTGGTCTCGAACTATGAGTAGAAAGCGTGGTAGTGCTAAGTACACTGCTCTCAGTTCGAGTCGGTTGATATGGTGGTCCCGAAACCTATGCGGGAGTCATATCCTTGGGCTTGTTCGTCCAATAGATGCGCTCCCCAACCCTGGGGGAGGCATCTGTCACCAGAGTCATACCTGCGGTGAGCGGGTCCAAGGAGGCTCCTCTGCCCGAGGTTGGCCAGTGACAACCACCAGGGCAGGGCTTCCTTCACTTGGTCCAAGATCGAAACCCGCTGATCTAGTTCCCATAGGAGAGCTCGGCGTTATAACAAGTGTTATACCGGGCGGCTGCGTAGTGCGGCTTGGTCATCATATCGATGATCCATTTAGTTCACGGAGGGACACCGAGGGAACGCTGACTAGGCATTCGGCTAGGCTGCTTAGCGCTAAGCAATACGCTTGAAATAGCTAAGCCAAGCTTACCTCTGTGTCAAAACTCCATGCCCAGGGACACCAACTGCGCGTTGGGTCGAGGTGGGACTTGTCGATTTACTAATGAGCCCAACTGGTGAAGTAAATCCTGTGTTAGCCTGACACGTTTGGCTATTACCCCTTGCCCGGGTTGTTGGTAACCGGAAGTCTGGGTACGGATTGAGGTGTACGTGCATAGGTACGTGCAGGTAGGCCCTGCTTAAGTCAAAACGGTGGATGGAGAGAACAACCCTGAATGGTGTCTCCATGTAGAACCGATCGAGGAGCACGTACTGATTCAGTCTGCCTAGGTCCAAAACTGGACGCCTGTCACTTGTAGATTTGGTACTACTTGGGTAGAAGCCTGGACTTAGTTTCGGCTGATGTACCCTGTGTGTGGCGCCTTCCCTAAGCAAACTGCTACATCCTGTCTGATTGTTTCCTCCTTGCGGGAGTCCCCTGGCAGTGCCCAACAGGGGAGACACTGATGGGGGAAATGGAGATTTCAGCGGTATCCCGTAAACGGATATCACCACCTGGAAAGGTCCAGGGATCGGTCACCCACCGTCTCCAAACCGGACTACACCAGCACAATCTGTGTTAAAGACAGGGATATGTGGCCATGTGTCCAGCAGTTGGGGGGGGGGGAGGGGGCGCTCCCTTCCCCCATGAGGTGAGTTCCCCAAGGCCTGAAGTAGTCACTAAGTTGTGACCTGGCCACTCACCGAACACGTGCCTGTCCCCCTCCCCCCGGTTGCAGAGGTGAGCGTCAAACATGCCTCCCCTGCTGCCGGGTAGACGTCCGCCCAGAGAGAGTGAGGAGCCACCACCCGGCTCTTACCTCCCTGGGGGCGCGCCACTACCCTTCCCTCCCATGGAAGGGTATAAGCACTTGCCTCCTGGCTGACTCTGGCGAGCGGACGACGCCCTAAGGCGTTGTGTTTTCTGTGCTTGGGGTGCCCTCCGCTTGCCCATAGAGTGCTGGGCACACATAATAATGCGCTTAAGCAACTCTGCCCCAGGGCTGGATGGGTCGTCTTTAATTGGCAAAGACACCCATGGAACGCGGCTATCCCCCTTTGCC